GATTAGAAGGAAAAATATCTAAGCTGTTTCTTTGTGTTGTTTTGAATTGGCGTTATCCAATAATCCAAACATCAAAATGTCATGCACAAATTCATTTTCCACAGAAACAGGCAACATAAGCCATCCAAAGGCAGCTGGCAAATTTACTGACAGTGCCTTGCTGATTATATCATATCTGCATCAGTGAGTCTTTATTTTTTCAAATAAGCAACCATAGGGTGGGTGTGTTCAAAACTGTAAATACGAGTAATGCTATGGAACCTGTTGCCACATATTTATTTAGAGTTTCTCTCTAGAAACTCCCAACCTGACAGTGACTCTCATTTTCTGGGTGTCAAGGGAAGATGTCATCCATTGATTTCATCAAGAATTGCAGCAGATACTTTCAGGGGCTGTGTTTTATAGCTGTCTTGCACATCTTGCAACACTTTGTGCATTCATAACGCCTCATGATCCAATTTATTATATTCTCTTTTTGGTTTGCTAAAAAGAAATAGAAATCAATGACCTTGTGTCTTAGGATTTCCATAAGCATGATGTGGAATGATGTGGCAATGCCCATGTGTTGGCTCCTGTATTTGTACCTGGCCCTGGCTCAGTGCTGTTTGATATTACTCTTGGCATTCATTTTACCACCTTTCGGGAAGGGGTAAGGAGGACGTTAGGAATATCAGAAGGATTCAGGAAATCTTATCACTAAAGGGCTAAAGAGTTATTCAAAATTGTTGTTAAATGCAGTATTAATAACAGACTACAGTCATGTAGAACTTACTGTGTTTCAGGCTTTAATAAGTTTTTTAATTTAATAAGGCTTTAATAAGTTTTAAATTATTATTTAATAAATATAATAATTCCTTTGTATTTATTAACTCATCAAATTCCTTCAAGACAGGGAGGGGTTCAGAAATTTGCCAAAATTCACTGATGTAATAAGTGAGGCAGAAATATAAACATGCAGTTTGGCTCTAAATACCATATGTAAAGTGTAGGATTTAACTTTTTTTATTTTTGATAAGTAATAATTCACAGGTTTATTATTGTTATTTTTAATTCACAGACTTTTAAAATAAAAATGGTATACATTGAGTTTTGCTTCTATTCTATCCACCTGGTTGGCCCCCATCCCCACAGTATACTTTTCCACAGTATACCTTTATGCAGTTGCAAACCAAAACAAGTATATATATTTTTTCCTCTTCTTTATGACACTATGGGCATCATAATGTGCTCACTATTCTGAACTTTTCTTCTGAGCCATCTATCCTGATACCCTCCCACAATATAACAGAGATGGTGTCCTCATACTTTTACCTCACCTATTATTCCATTTTGAGGACATACTGCACCTTATTTAACCAGTCCTCTCTTTATGGAAATTTTGTTTCTGATGCTATTACAAACAATACCACAACACATGACTTGTGCATGCCATTTTGTAACCGTGCCCAGATTTCTGTAGCATAAATTCTCTATCATAGGTTAATTGAGTTAAAGGGTGAAAGCATTTGTAATATTGTGTGGAAATTGCCACATGGTCCCCTCTAGGAGCTGTACCACTTGCATTCCTCCAGAAATGTTGAGAGTGCCTGTTTTCCCACAGTCTCATTAATAGAGTATATTATTGAATTTTTGGAATTTTGCCAACATGATAAATGAGAATGGCTTCTCAGTATTGTTTTCATTTGCATTTTTGAAAGTATGGGTAAGGTTGAGTGTCTTCTTACTAAGGGTCATTTTTATGTGAACTGTCTGTTCATGTCCTTGCTCATTTATCTTTTGGCTGATTGATCTTTTTCATCTCAATTTCTAAGAGTTTACATATGAAGGAAATAAATCATATTTATGTGATAGGAGTTGCAGATATTTTTCTTGTTTTGAATTTGCTTTCTACTTATGTCTTTTTTTTTTTTGGCCCATAAATGCACTTTTTATTTTGATGTGCCTCAATTAAGATCTAGAACTTAATTATGTTAATTATTCATGGTTTAAATATATTTTTGACAGCCATCAAGAAAGATATAAATAGATTTTATTCAACAAAAATATGTTAAGAACTTACTACTGTGCATTCTACTTTGTGCTAACAGAACTGTTTCCCTGGAAATTTTCCTAATGTAGTGGTGAGACAAATGTCTAAGTAAATAATTTCAGTATGCCAGTGGTAAGCATTAAAATAAAGACATAAAAAAAGAAAGTTATTTTTAAGCAGCATCTTGAGGGATATTTAGGAGTTAGACAGGTGGGACAGAAGGAAAAGATAGGCTAAGTTCTCATAGCCTAGCTCCTGAGGGATTAGTTTCTATCTTAGCATTTGAATAACTTTCTACCCTCCAGACGAAACAGGTTGGCGTTTTCTTGTATCAATTTGCCAAATACAGACAATAATCCCAATTATTTCTTACTTAAATAAGAGGGGCCATAGTTGTACTCTTACCTGAAAGAAATTTATTTTTTTTGGAATACTGCAAAGATAAGTAAGCTTATGGTGGCATCAGACTTTCAACGTTCACCTAATGTCATTCACTTCTGAACTTTGATGTAGTCTGGTAAGAAAAGAAAGTAGTTCAGGGGCTGGTGCATATATAGTCCTTGATCGTGACAATTATCAATTTCTTTTGGATTAGACTTACAGTTACTGAAGAACTGGAAATTGTTTTTGCAATGTACCAGTTATTTATTGGTCAGTTCAAATATGAGATATAGTTGATGTGCAAGCAAGAAGAGATAATAGAGTCAGTGACTAATGGGCCTTTCCTACTGAGCTGGCGTAAGAGGCTAGGACTGGGAACACTGGTTCAAATGGCACATACAACTTGTTGCCTATCCAACTTACACGTTCCTTGTGTCTCACCAATGAAACTCAAGTTTGGTTCAGAAAGGTAAGGAGACCAGCCCAAGCATATACTCTGACGAGTCTAGTCTAGTGTAAACCAATCATGCTGATCTAGCTCGTCTTTTTCAGAAACTGGTTTTCTTTGAAGCTCAGGGTATTATGATCCTGTTATGGCCAATAGTGCACAAGGTGAAGTCTGCTGGAGCATTTCTGAGAGAGCTTTTGCTTTCATAATAAAGCAGACAGATAATGATTCCTGCTTCCACTGCTTCATCTCGCCTTAAATGCAGACGTGATGTGATGTCCAGAACCAGAACAGCCATCTTAGGACCAAGATGACTGAGGAATTTTTGCAGTGGATCAGCCCTGACATCATGTTGCTGATTTAACAGTTGCCTGTGTCCTGACTTCTTGGTATGTGGATAAAGGAAACATTCCTTCTTTTTTAAGCCGATCGAGCTTTCTACCAACCAGTCAGGCAGGTCACTTAGCAGTAGCATGGGAATGGCCACTAGCTTTGCTGGCCATATTTCTAAAGATTCAACTGGTAAGGAGACAACAAACCAAAATGGACTTAGCCAATCTATAACTCATACAGACAGCATAAAAGATCAGCATTGTACCAGCTACCTGCAGCCATTGTTCCACAGGATGACACCAAGCCAAAGGGGCAGATGATGGGGAACACCAACAGTGGGTCACTCCTCACCTTGTGGCTGAGAAGTCAACAACTCTAGGCTCCAGCCAAGCACTTCAATAGTCTGCAACAGTTCCCGAAGAAGAGGGACAGATGGAAAGCCCCATGCCTCACCAGAACCAGGAAAACAGACGGAAAATGGCCTTGTGGCAACCTCCCACAAGATAGTGAGGTGAATGGGGAACAGCCTTGACAGCACCTCACAGAACTGCCACTCATGCCAAATTCCTGAGAGGGTGACAAGGTGTTCATTCACCAAGGCAAGTCAGGCTGCAGCTGAGCCTCACTTGCCTGTGTGGAGATCTGCAAGGGTGCCAGGGAGCCATTCCCCTACAAATTGCAGATAAAAGAATTTCTAATTGAGAAAACTCTTATCCCAAAGAGGTATGAGGGAAAGGATCTAAGCTTATGAAAGGACACAGGTTTTTCAGAGAAATAATACCTTCTCTTTATTTTTTTCATCTTTTGCTGAAATAGGTCTCAGTAAGACTTATTATTAGGACACTTCACTGTATACAAAGGCAGTGTTGAAAGCCTTTCCAGATATTTTAAAGGGCATATGCCAAGGTCGCGCATGACTGTGTCCGGGTGTGTAAATGTGTGTCTGCTCGTAGACCCCAGCACGACCGTATCAACATGCTTCCTGCAG